AATACATTCGTTCACCTCTTTGCTTGGTATATGCAACAGCAAATAAATTTTTTCTTTTAATTGACTGACTGAATTGGTTATATCGGGAATTTCTGAGATTTTTGTTTTCACTTTTTTCTTGCATTGAAAAAAATCAAGTTTCCTTAAGAGTACTCTTTCTTTGTCCCCTGAAATTCTTTAATTGGAGGGAGGGAGTGGGGAGGGGTGTCAGGGGGTGCTGACAGTGCAAATCACTGATGACAGTGAGCAAGCAGCTGACATTTGTCCCTCCTGTATTCTTGTGATCAAACAGATTTTAGCAAGAATACAACAGCCCACGTACAGAGCACGCGGGCAAGACTTTCAAAGTGAAAGACAGGTCATGAGCTTCTGGCAGAAGCGGGCTGAGAATCTGTGAGTGAAATCATGTGAAGACAACACATGCCCAAGACCTTTAGTCTGGGGCGGGGGAAAGTCTCCTGCCATTTAAACACAGGAGTCCCCCAGGCTCCAGCCTTTTCATAGTCTCTGCTCCTTGATGTTGCTGAGCCTGTGGGGGCCTCGACTTTTCTTGCTCTTTTTTTTAGTATTTCGATTTGGGGAAGGAAGAGACAGCTCCAGCTCTTTCTTCTTGGCGTCCCACTCTGCGTCCCGCTCATCCAGCGGCAGCCCCTCCTGCCGGGCGGCGCGGCGGTGGCCCAGGCACTCGGGCTCGGCCCTACGAGAGAAGAGAGCGGCTTCTGAAGGCCGAGAGCGGGGCCCTCGTGGCTTCAGAGTCGGCCCCTCTGCCCGCCCTCTGCACAGTCAGGAAGGAAGGAGGCCAAGTTTGGGCACTTCCAAGTGTACACCTAGGGAGGTCTCAGACACTAGAGAAACTACTCAAAGGTGGAGAAAAATGGTGTGACCCGACAGAAATGTGGTAGGATCAAAGACAGTCATTAGCTTGAAGATGCTAATTCTTAACATGCTCACGTTTATAGAGCAACCTGCATATTATTGGGAGGCTGTTTTCCTTTGTTTATTTTTAATTATTTTTTCCTAATTATAAAAGCAATGTATGTTCATTGAATACAATTTAAAAGTACAGAAACATATAAGGAATAAAAATCACTCATAACTACATATGCATTGCATGTACAGATGGATTATATAAAAACTAGTTGTAGATGGACAGACAGATGCTCAGATAAAGGGATCATTATACACACATTATACATTATACACATTATATACATTAAGCACACATATGTCCAGTTTTGTTTATGAGGCCAAAGGTGAATACATGACTGACTTAATGACATTAGTGAAAGCCACCTCACAGAGATAAAATTCAAACCAACGAGGACAAGTAGACTTCAGGAGTACAGACAATGATATAGGCAGGGCAGACGGCATTTTACATGCAAACTGTTACTAAAAGCACAGTTCACACAGAGGATAGCAAACCTGCGTGGCCCCCGCTCCCCAGCCCCACCTCCCGCAAGCCAGAAGTGACCTTTCAATACTCAGATCTCATGGCATCCCTCCTTGTCTTGTTACGCTGTATCTTGTACTAGTATTATTTATATAAACAAGTTATTTCCCTGCCCAGGCAGAGAAATTCTTCATGTCCCGCACTGTATCTAATTTACGTTTATGTCCTTTTTAGTCTAGCTCAATGCCATGCACCTAGTAGGGTTCAAACATATTTGTGGAAAGAATGGATCACCACTTAGAGAGACTGATTAAAAGTTGAATTGTTCCACAATGATCCTTAGGATATTCAGAAAATTGTCAAACACCGTCTGGGCTTCTGTCAAAGTTCTCTTGTATCCTTTTCCTTCATCATCTACTCACGACATGAATCATTAAGAAATTCCTTAAGTGAACTTCTTGCCTTGAGTCTAAATGTCTCTGATGCTACTGCATAGCACCACTCCCACCTCCTCCACTGTGGGGTAGCTTGGTAACGCATCTGCTTCAGCTTGTCATTCCCCTGATGATTTCACACGCACCTGCCTTCCTGGCTCACTATGGTCACCACCACCCCCCACCCCGTCCTCCACTTCTCATTAGTGTGAATGCTCTGCTTAGCCAGGCCACCCACCCCTCTGCTATCCTTTCACTATCCCTCCACCTACTCACATATGCACACAACCTATAAATTGATAAACACATCAATATCCAACTTGATGCCTTCACTCCAGCTCAACAGTTTTTCACCCTCCTCCATTAGCCAGGTCCTAGCTATCTTTCAAGGATCAGATTAGTTCCCCCTTAATTCAGGATTCTTTCTCTCTAAATCCTCTGTCAGAAGGGACGTTCCTAGTGGGAAATGATAACGAACAGAAATGACTCACATGTGATACGGTTAACCTTTGTTGTTTTTGTCTGCTCAACACTGCCTGCCCACTTTTCCTAGTAATAGCACTCCCCACTATTTGGGCAGAGCCACTTCTACTCCCTTTCACTTATGTGGATGTCATATATCACATTCACCCATCCACTGCTTTACTGGAGGAGCTGAGATTAGTCAGAGAAAGTCAGTGAGGGATAGCCAAGAACAGGACCCTGAGGAATTTCAGCATCTGAAAGGCATGCAAGAATAAATCATGAAATTTATTCTTAGAAGAAGCTAATAAAAAAAAAAAAACATGAGGAGAGGTAGATCAGAGAGGTAGAAGGAAAACAAGAAGAGAGTACCATCAGATGAAGCAAGGGGTAAAGAGCTTCAGGGATAATCAAATACTGAATTAAGCAGAGGTTGATGTGAATTGAGAAGCGGCATTGATTTAGCAACGAGGAACTCCCTGATAACGTAGGTGAAAGCTGGTTCAGTACAAGGAGTGGATGAGGCTACGTTATCTCCACAATGATGTGATTAACTTTCAAGTAGCCTAGAAATATAGGGAAGAAGAAAGATACAGAAGAAGTCAGAGGGGCCTCTAAGTTTTGTTTGTTTGTTTAATAAGATCCATTTGAACATGCTCACAGCCCAAAAAGAAGTCAAGGGAAGGAATAGGAAAAAACTAAAAATACAGAAGAGAGAATGAAGAT